CTCCCACAGAAACACTGCTGTCTGAACACCAATCAAAGAAAGTCAATTATTAGACATTGGAAACCTGTTTGGAACTGTTGAAAGAAGAAATTAAAAGTTAAAGTAGATTAGATTTTTGCTTCCAGGTCCTAAAAAGAAAATAAATTGTCTACTGTAGAACATAAAAAGCAGAGACTTGCTCAGTGACCACAAACTGAAAAAGGAAGACTGTTGCCAAAAGTTGTGGAGAAGACAGACTATATGTCCAGTGATGAGGATGAGACACAGAATCACTTGCCCTCATTGATGACCTTCTTCCGCCTGTTGTGGGCTACGTGTTGAACTAGGCCTTAGTCATGTCTCTCAGCCTTGCCATTGGTGTTTGCTGCCATGTTGTTTTGGGGTGGTTTTGCTAGCATTTTTCCAGGTGGTGTCCATCTTAGAGCAGTTTACCTTTTACTGGGTGTCGGTATTCTGAGCCGTAAAGGATATCCGGTTTGACAAAGCTGTTATAAAGTCTGACCTGTGTTCAGCAGCTGTGTGGGCTTGAGTGTTGCAAATGCTCTGCATGCCTTGCCAGGGCTTGCACTGCTGTCATTTTGTGCTGAATTGTTGTCGCTGACAAGGCTGTGAAGGTAGGCAGGGCCTTGACATAGCACAGAGGACCACTTTTAACTGATGGGTGCACAACACCTTGGTTTTGGAGGTGTTGTTGTTTAGAACTGTTTGCCTGTTTCCTGGAAAAGGTTTCATTTTCCTCCTGCAGACTGCAGACGATAGAAAAGTGTCTATCGTGCCATTTGTCTTCTATCGTTTCTAACCCAAATTTTATAAATTATTACATAAAATATATAATTAACCCTTTACAACCGGTCGGAGCAGGCACACTCCGTTTTACCTAACTATTTTTAAATCCTTGTAGAACTGGAACCACGTAAGGTAGCGCAATCATTTTTTTTGCATGTGTAACTGGAGGAGTTGTACTTACATCTAATGCCATTAGCCCTGAATGCCCTAGGTCACGGTTTCCTTCCACATATAGCTTTGCAAAAATTGCTTAAGAAGCACTTGCAGCAACAAAAAGATAATATTCCAGAAACACGCTTTGCCTATGTTCAATAACACTTCCTACGTTGGCATATACGTCAGCGCGAACTATCGCATGTCCGCCATTACCTGCCCGAAGCCGGAAGTGACGTCATTTTCGCGAAAGGGCCTTATAAGCCTATGTTGGTGTTTTTAAAAGTCATGTTTGACTTTATGCTTTTCTGTATCGTTTCTGGGATGCTTAGAACTCAAATTATACTGTTGGAAACAGTTTATTTTGATGCATTATAATATTTATTTTCATTTTTCCTGTATTATATAAAAATTAGTGTATCTCAAAAATAAAACTATGAAGCCACTCAAAATAAATTTCTCGTGGTTGGAAATTATTTTGTGCAACCTTTTTGTATTTACAGTTTTGAGGGATAAGCCTCTTAAATTTTTCTAACTAGAAATATATGTAAACAAAACAAACGATTTTCAATTTTTTTGTAGTTTATTGCACTACAATTTTTTGCAATTTATGTAGTTACTATGGACTTAATGCATACATATTATTAAAATTTGGGCTATAACGGTTGTATTGATATATGGAAACTTGAAATGCTCCCACAAATGGCAGTACAGCATGTAAAAGCATAAAGATAAGCTCTGGCGGCCTTGGTTCTATGGTAGGTCTTAAAGGGTTAAATAGCCTGTGGCAAATATATTAGTGTTGTCTTCTCACTATACATGCTCTTAACTTTATGCAAGAGAAAATAAAGTATAAAAAATTATATTTTTCACAAAGAAACTCCGTCTTGTGGTTTGCGACCTGGTGCTGCTGTACGTGCACCCGGATTTGCGACATACTTTACGGTAACTCAAAACAAAGACTGCACCCTCGGCACTTGCTGTTTACAGACTGCATACTTTCTAGATGACCACAGGTCAGGTGGTATATCGTGATACATATCATTATCGTGATATAAAATAATTCGTATCGTGATAAATATTTTTTCCATATCGCCCAGCACTACATCCAGGAATATGTATGATACTGCAATACTGTACTCTCAGGCTAATTAAGCCTATTTTGATCTGGATGGGCTCATTCACAGTACCTCAGAGGAAATTTTAACATTGTAAAATCCAATATGTTGTAAAATAAAATGGCTTCATACATTTTTTTTAAAGAGGTTTTAGGCCCAGTTTATTAATCGACATTTCCTTCATCTGCTTCATTTGAAAACTCGTGATGTTAGAGTTAAATCCCGAATCTCACACTCATTTCCCATGATTTATGCATTAACTGGCCACTTTATTAGGTACATCTGTTGAAGTGCTTTCTAATGCAGATATCGAATCACCGTCCAGCACAGGCCAACACCTCAGTGCGTTTAGAAACAGTAGAGACGAGCTGTTGAAGTTCAAGCCGAGCATCGGAACGGGGAAGAGAGGCAACTTAAGTGACTTTGGACGTGGCACGATTGCAGGTGCAATATCCACTTTCGCGGATGATCAGAAATCTTTTGCTCCTTTTGTAACCGAGCAGCAGTGTTGCGAGGGTGTGTGCGTGTGTGAGTTTATTATCTCATCAGCTCGTTCGCTAAAATCAGCCCCTATAAACCAGAAACGGGCGGCTGTCTCTCTGGCTGCAGTTCAGCTGTGCAAACTTTCATTTCGCCGATAAAATAGGACAGTAAAAACTTTAATGCTCTTTGCTAAATATATAAAGTATAATATGAGCAAAACAGTCAAGTCTGCAGGTCGTTTACACTTTCTACATATAAAAATAAAACTCATCGCAGATGAAGTTGTGTAGGCGCGCTGCTGTGTGTGACATTGTTTATAACCCTTGTCTGTAACCTTCCACATCATCCAAGCGGTGTCCTTATTACCCAGCATGGTGCATTTCCTGTGTTAGCAGTGATAGGCCTCGGGATGAGCTTCACGGTGTGTTTCATGTCCTTACTTGAATGCATGGGCCTCCTTGAGGAGGAGCAGGAACAGATGCTTCTGACAGAACAAACAATATCACACAGTATTTATGCACCGAGTTGATACTCTCACAGTACGGTGGGAGTAAGTAGTAGTCTGTCAGAGTATGCTCACAGGCAAAACATTAATAATTCTTCTAATGAAGTGTGTAGTTTTTTCATGTATTTGTGCATTGCATATCTGTGTAGCACTAATGTATACATAACAGTATACAGACCATCTTAAAAACCAACAAGTGAAACTGAGACAGGAATTCTGCGTTCACTGTCGGTTTCCTAAACGACCTCCGGTGCAAGAACTGCCGACAGCTTCGATTTTAAATTCCTGCAGAATAATCTGAGACCCTGCAGCTAATCCTCCTGCATCGACCTTTGAGTGATGACACATTCTTTACTAAGTATTTACTATCACGGCCCGTTGTCTCCATCTCGTCGGTTTTGAGAGAGAAGCTGTGAGAACCCGCTCACCTCTTTGTGCTGGAAACTCTTATGCACCTAAGAGTCAACGGTGTGTCAAGGTTTCGTTTCATTTGTGTGCTGTGATGACATTTTTGCACCGCTACTTGGCTGCCACTTGAGAATGTTAACGGAAAACTTCTGTTGAGCCAAGCGGAGACAGACGCGCTGTGCTGGTAAGCTGGCGACTGAAAGTGATGCTGTAGGAAGTGATTGTGCTCCTTGCTTCCTGTCCGTGTTTTTAGCACTTTGGTGCTGCAGAGGAAATGTAGAACGAGGTTGGTGGAGGCTGAATACATAAAGCAGCGATTTGCATTGTGGAGCCTTTCATCAGGGGATGCAGCCAGACTGCACAGGTTTCACTGGTGAACAGCTGCGGGCACAGGGAAATGCTTATCAGTGGTTACGTGATGGTAAGTAACTGAAAAGAAGCCAGCATGTGTCATGCATCCAGCATGCAGATGTTGACGTTTCAAGCTATTTACTTAGTGTTGTTTGTTTTTGGTGTGCGTGTGTTTGTGTGATAAATGATCAACGATCGCGTGATAATCCCGCCGGACTTGATGAGAAGTTTTTCTGGCCGTGGCGTTAAAACGTCCGTACATTGTTGTGAGTGCTGTTCAAAGGAAGTAGCCTGACAAAACTCAATCACTGCACTTTCCACTTACTGCTCCTGCATGTTTATTCTTTATTTACTCAGCTTAACTTTTTGCAGCTGCTGATCTTTATACAATGACCAAAGTAAATTGTCTCCTTTTTAGGTTTCACCACACAGTTAGCTGTTTTTTCTGCATGTCCACAAAAATTACGAGAAACTGAAAAATGGGCTTTTGCTGATTCACTCACGGTGCTGCTGTCAATTGTCAGAGAGAAAAGGAGAGATGCATTTTATTCATGTTTACACAAATGCAGCGCTGACATGAAAAGTCCCCACGTCAACTCGCTGCTCCGGTGCTTTTTTTTCTCTCTCATTGTGCTGGCGCTTGCTTGTAGTGTTCAGGAAGCGGTTTGCCTTGATGGAGGATGGTAGAAAAACCCGTTAACAGCTCACAATTCAAGTGGATCTCCAAGACTATGACTCATGCAGTTCAGTTAAACATTGAAACCGTGACCTCTCATTCTTGCTCTTGATTCTCTCTTAAGTGAAAATATGCAAGTTGGTGAAAGAAGTGAAGCGGTCATGAACAAAATATTGATTTGTTCATTTGTTCACAACAGACAAAAGAAAGTAGACTCAAACGGTGGTTCGGTGCCTTGTTAACTGGTAGCTTGTTCTGGGGTCTGTTTAACTACGACACCAGAATGCAGCTCTGTGCACTTTGCTGTGGTGTGTCAGACCAGCACTTCTTTTAAATGTCAGTGTGTCCCAATAGACTTTGTAATGTAGAGCTTTTACAACTTTAAAGTCCAGAGTCGGCTTGAATAACAAGCATCAAACAACTTTCACGTTTTATTTACTGGTGTATTAAAGTTCCAGATGATAAAAAGTTTATAGCTGGCATTTTGTGGCTCAGCTTTTCCCTCCGTCTCTTCTTCCAGGTCGTTCACTGCCGCTGAAAGGATGATAACGATCGTGGGAGGAGGCCACGGCCGGAGGTGCAGCCCTCGCTAGAATCCTACTTCTCTTCCAGTTCACCCCTTTACCATCGCCCAGTGTTGCTGTCCACCCCACCCCAACCCGGCACCATGGCCAACCACCTGGAGCTGATCCAAGAGCTGCAGCAGCTGGACAAGGTGCCCAGTCTGGAGAGACTGCGGGCGGCCCAGAAGCGGCGCACCCAGCAGCTGAAGAGATGGGCTGTGTATGAGAAGGAGATGCAAAACAAGAAGCGAAAGGCCGACAAGAAGGGACGCATTGCCAACAGCCTCCAGCAATCAGAGCCCAAGAAACACGTGTCGTTTGCCGCCAGCGTGGCGCTCCTGGAGGCTTCGGCCAGGAATGATCCAGATGAAGGTAAGACCAGTACAGCATATTAATGATACGTGCAGATCAGAAAATAAAAGGGTGGCTTATTTATTTCTGCTTGCCTAATTACAACTAGTTTGGATTCATTACATCAAGTATCCTAAATATTTTGATTTAGCGATGAAATAAAGGTATTATTTATGGATGTGGGGCAGGGTGAGTAGAGCTGGGGTTATTTCTTTGTTGCTTGCGAGACGACAGGAGGATGAACAGGCTGCACCGAGGCCGGCGTTGCCTTTTTAATTTATTTGTTGAACTTTAGTATTCCTTGTTTCAAAATTAAATAGTTTAAATAAAGTTTTGCTCAACTGAGCTCAGACTTACCCTCGACACCGCGTTTGAATAATGACGCTAATTTCGGCCTCACCACACTACTTCCCCTGGATATCAAAATGCCAAGGTCAGGAAAACGATTAGCTTGGCCTGCCCACTTAAACCGCCAGTGGAAGTCACTCCATTCCAATTGAATTTGTTCTGCTAGGAGACTGTTTTATCATTGAGAAATAATGGAGTTGTCACACTGAGATGAAACTCTGCCAGTCTTTTAATTAAAATTTCTACGGATGGGGCCCCCCTATTTGGAGATAATAATTGTTTTCCTCCAGTACCGGCAGCCCCGTGTTGCTGTGGCTGTGCTGACAGTGTGTCGGCGATGCAGGGATGATAACAGGCTGCTATCGCTTAGATTTTGCGTCTAATTTAACGTCACTGTAACTTGAAATTGGATTGAAGTTTGTTTTATTTATTTGTTTTTTTTAATCGTCACAAATGCAGCCCACAGCAGTGCTACTGTATATTCTTTGCTCATGCAAGCTGTCTTCACAGATAGGACATCCCTCTCAAGGCTGATGTATTTTCACAATAATTTTTACAAGGCTGAAGCTACTCTGCTGTGCCTGTACACACACATGGACTGTTCACTGGCACGTCTAAGCTCCAGCTGGAGTGTGAGACACTAGAAGTCTTGTGATGTCTACAGGGATCTGCTGGATTTTATCACGGCGTGTAGCCGAAATTAAGCTTTGGTGTAAGCAAAAGGAAGTTACTTAATTGGGTAAAACTGAAAAAGAAAATCTTTGATGTTTTTGTTGCTGGTTTCATTGTTGTGCGTGATGTGAGAAATGGTTTGAGCATCATTTCGGGGCTTTTATTGCAAACTGCTGCGCTGTGTGTATTTCCCAGAAGGTCTGCTGAGGCACTTAGACTGCACCAGGATGTTGGGGCTGATCGTGTGAGTCTTTAGATTGGTTTTGAGAAACCACACGAGGAAGCAAGGAACACACAATGTCTACTCATCAATATTGACAGTTCCCTTTCAGGGATGGTTTAACAGCAACAAACATTTGTCTGCTGTCACACACTTACTCGTGTCAGAACGAATGAGTATTTGTACACCACTGATAGATTTCTTTGTTTTGAACTCTTCAGCTGTGTCCTCCATGTTAAGGATGCACACATACAAAAATTCCTGATCAATTTTTCAAGTGTAGAAAAAGGAGGTTTTTAATTTCAATACAGCTAGACGGGGGATACATTATTGCTTTGACTGTACACTGTGTCTCTTCTCCTTCTGATGCAGTTATCGATAAACTGACTAATTGATTGAGCGTTAATGCTTTGACTTGCAGGAGCCGCTATAATGTGAGTCCTTGTGGTTGCAAATGGATTAGGATGAAGTTAGCAAAAGTGAAAAGACTTCATGTTCTTCTGTGACACAGTTGTCGTGACTGTGCTATACAACGAGCTACGATTACCACCTCTAAGCACAAATTTATTATCGGAGTCTGAAGACTGTTTAAAATTAATAAGAGGGCTTGCAGGTGGTTCAGGTGTACAAAAGCTCCACCATCATGACTGTCAGAATAACATGCCAGCAGAGAGAAAAGGAATTTTCCAAATTTAGTGTGCATGATTTTTGATGGTTCTCTGCTTTTGATTCCCTTTCCTTCTCCTTATGTCCTGCAGTACTTCTGTATAGAGATGTCTGCTATCACTACGGTCTAATGAGAGTGACCATGAAAGAGGCAGGGAGGAAAAAAAAAAAGGGAGACAGGATGTAGTGTTGCCCACACAGCTCCAGTGGCAGCTGGCTAGCTTAGGAGCTTGATAATCTCCTCTCTCATTCCCTCTGGTGCCCAAATGCTCGATCAGGCGTCATGAGTCCACACACTGTGCTGCTCCAGCACACAGCACCCTTTTTAAAGAAATGTTACATGACAGTGTCATTTCAAAAAGGCTTACATATATAAAAAAGGAAATCGAAAGTAGATGAAATGATGGGAAAAGGTTGAGGCATTTTTAGAAATCAGGACTGTTTATTGGACAGAAGTTAAACCCCTGGTCGGCCTAAAGAGTGACTACAAAGGCGGCGCTAGCAGCAGCGAGTTGACGATGAGGCTGGGAACAAAAGTAGCCATCATCACCTCTTTTTCATGAAGAGGACGGAAGGGAGAGAAGTAAATACAGAGAGACTAACTTTGACCCAGGAGTCGCTCTAACAGCCTCAAGGCCACAATAAGATGAGAGGCTGGGCTGAGTCATGTTTAATCCCTGATTGGTTGGAGTGGGCGAGCTGCTTCCTGTGATTCTTTGCCTGCTCTTTTTTCTCTCTCCCTGTGGTTTGGGTCAGAGCTTCAGAGCGCGTTGGCTGGAGGCGGCCTGTGATTGTGTGAGGACATGATAACCAATATTATGTGTGATAACTCCTATGCATGCTTTATAAATGAAGTTTTTTGTGTATTTTCAAGCTTTATTATATTGACTGTTATTAAAATCTATGTAGATGCAGGTGTACAGGTGTTATGCTTGCATTTAAGTAAGTGTGTGTGTGTGTGTGTGTGTGTGTGTGTGTGTGTGTGTGTGTGTGTGTGTGTGCATCCGTGCGTATTCTTGTCATTATAACTTCCTGTCTGCTGAGAGAGGAAGCAGACTCACCAGACTGTGAGAGACACGGGACGGGTATGGTGAAACTGCAGAGGGTATATTGTACATTTATGTTTAAGAATGTTTGTGTGTGTGTGTGCGCGTGTGTGTATGCAAAAAGTTTTTGTGTGGTTGTGACAGAGAGAGAAGGAAGAATATTTGAGCTTACGTAAATGCAAATTTTGAGTGTCTGTCTCAAGATGTGTGAAAGCAGCAGTGAGTAGGAAAGTGCTGGATCCCGAGTGTGAGTCCATTTCTTCGCCCCGTGGTTCGCACCATCCTGAACCCACTGCCCTCTCATAGTGATGAAGGCTGATGGCTGTGAAATTACTGTGAAGCACTTTGGTGTCTTTTATGCGCGCCTCTTCGGCAATTGAGATGGATGGGATTTCTCTTCTCCAGAGAACTGCCGTCCTGCAGAGGAGCAGCCAGTGGGGTCAGAAGGAACTGTCAACAAAACTCAAAGACAGTCAGCGTGGTATGACCTGACATTTCCTCCTAAAACCGCTGGGTAATCTGATGAGATGGCCCGGGAGTCAACAGTATTAATGGAAAGAGGGGAAAAAAGTAAGAGTAGAACTGTAGAGGGGGGAAAAATGTCTGACTTAAAGCCTTTAAACACCATCAGAAAGCAAAATTTGAGAAAACAATGGAGGCATTTGGAGAATGGAGTGTAAGTGGGTGAAAAGTAGTGTGAATGAACAGGACATTCAGTAACTGCTTTTCAGTATCTTGTGCCGTCTTTTTGTTTTCAATGTCTGTTTGTAAGAGCTGCTTT